GTCTGATCTGAGGCAGTCTGGCATGCAGACGCTGGAGCACGTGTCTGTTACTGTGACTATCGTCCATCCGCGGCGCGGGAACGTGGAGATCCGGCTCGTCTGTCCCAGTGGAATGAGCTCTCTGATCGGGGCCCAGAGATCGCTGGATGTGTGAGTGTCCCCACACTTCTGACTCACTCCACACACATGCCTTCTGAACCTGTGAGACCACTTTTAACGCCCGTTTTGTTGTTTGAGTAGAGATACGACTGGATTCACAGACTGGACGTTTTCCACTGTGCGATGCTGGGGAGAAAGAGCCGAGGGACAGTACACTCTACAGATCACCGACTATAGTAAGACAGCACAGTCTACACATCACTACTCATTTTGAAATGCACTTCGTTTTTAGTGCAAGACTTCACTTCATCAGCCGTTACCCTTAGCATTAGGGCTGTCAGAATGGCTGAAAAACTAAATTCGAATTTTGTACTTAAATATTATCAATATTCAAATTAAATTAGAATTCGAACCATATATATAACTAAGTTGCTTAAACAATTAGAAACAAAACCGCATCATGCATGTATGTATAGTTTAATACAAAGGACTGAAAACCAATCACAAAGAGTGCTTTCTTTATTTAAAAGCATGAGATGCAGTGGGATGGGAAAACCGCCATAAAGTCTCGAGACGTGTTTTTTAAAAGTTGAACTTACATTCATTTTACATGGCTTACTAAACATGCGGCTCTCTTGTGCGAGACGCGAGTGCAATGGTGATAGATGTCCCTCTAGAAAATGCGATAAATATGCATTCTGTGTGAACGGCTTGGTTTCAGTTTTGATGTAAACAACATCTTCTCCGCATTGAAGTTCTCTTTTACTGCAATATTTTGAATGAACAACATAACAGCGCATAATCTAGTGGCTTCAGCTGGATTAGCTAACAAAACATTAAAATGCAACGACACTTATATCGTCATCGCATCTTGTGTCCACTGATAAGGCAGCCTGACGCACACCAAAAATTCGAATGCAACGTTTTTTGCATTCACATGTGGATTTGTATTTTAAATTCGACGAATATTCAAAATTCTAATTTCTTTTGACAGCCCTGCTTATCATCAAGAAAGCATCTTCAAAATACAGTAAAGGCTGATAGCACCACAAGAACATGCATAATCCCAAGTCATTTACTAGCAGCTATTGGACTATTCTTGCAAAAAAAGACAATATATATAGCTGGCATATTGGCATTTTTTAGCAGAGGCTAACTAATAAAGCTAACCTGTAAAACAGTGACCCTTTGGCAAAGCAATGTTTTGGTCTTTGCAAAGTGTTTCATGAGTAAAACCCGTCTACAGAAACGCCAGCAAGTATGAACTGAAACGAAATGGTTTTGAAATGAAACAAAACTTGCAAGGGCAAAGAAACAGATTTCCTTTTCTGCAAGCAATACTAGAGAGGATAACTAAAAGGACGTGATATTTACACCCTATGTTTAGCGAGACTAATGGTTTCTCAGGGGATATTTGAAAAGATTGCAGTTCATGTTTTGTCAAAGCTTTGATATAAAACCAAACTGTAGTACCCGAGTATCGATTATAAAGAAGTACCTTAGCCAAAAACAGTACCTTAGCGTTTTTCCATTCCACTGCACTACTTTCCCATTGGTTTTCTACATAAATACATGCTAGATGGATGTGTTTGAGCATTGTGCTCATGTCTTGTGTCATTTGCAGCATCTTGTGCATGATACAGCAGTCTAAAAACAGCTCTGAGTTCAAATAAGTTCAACTTTAACAAAACACATCTCAAGGCCTTGCGTTTTTCCCCATTCTACTGCTCGCGTCTTGTGTTTTTCAAAGTAAAAACACTCTGTGTGAATGCCCCCTAATGCAGTTAGGCTAAAATGATGAATTCATTATTAGAAAAGTGTGTATTTGTTATAATGAATGTCAGTGTGCTATATAACTTGTTATCATGCGCAGCTGTCGATCTCTGAACCCCTTGAGTAATTTGGAATGAGCAAAGGACAGATGCTATTTGAGGTTTAATGCTTTAGCTCCATGTCGTGTGGCATTGTTTGCAGGTTTGTGCTGTTAAGTCTGCAAGTTAATTTCTCTTCTGTAGCACTGCTGTTCAGTGAAAATAGCAGAGATGCTGGTATGGCAATAAAAACATAGAAACTAACGCATCATCTGTGTTTCTGTCTTTCAGAAGAGTCGACTCTGTCGTCGGGAGTCCTGAAGCATTGGAAACTCACTCTGTATGGCTCATCTCTTTCTCATCAGCAGGTGAAAGAGAGACGGAGGTGAGCCATAGACGACTGAAACCCGTTGCATTTATTTGAGGATATTTTATGATATCTGACTGGTCTATTAAATATATTCTTGAGCTTTAGCGGTATAATCGGTAACACTTCATTTTAAGGTTCAGTTCTCACTACTAACTAGTTGCTTATTAGCATGCATATATCACATTGGCTGTTTATTAGTACTTATAAAGCTCATATTAATGCCTTACTCTGCATGAACATATTTTGGATCCTTAATGTACCACATACCTAAACTGAACAACTACCCTACTGACTAATAATAATAAGTAAATTAGGAGTTTATTGAGGCAAAAGTTGTAGTTAATAGTGAATGTGTTCCTCATGCTAAAGTGTTTCCATATGATCCTTGAGTCCTGCCACTGAATCTTGTTTAGCTTTAGTTTTAATAATACTGTATGTGTATGCATGTTTGCTTGAATTGTCAGGGTTGTTGAAGACGCCATGGGTGGACAGTATCTGGACAGAAGTTTTGCTCTTCCCTGCCCTCCTGGTATAGACGTTCCTCCTGAAATCGTGAGCCCATTCACCTCGAGCAGCCTGAAGGTGTGTCTTCACGTGTAGAACTACTGTATGGCTTACACTAGGGATGCAACAATACAGTTAGTCCACGGTTCAATACGTACCTCGGTTTTTAACCACGGTTTTCGGTTCGGTTCTGATGGCTGGGCACATCAGAGTGTTTTTTTACAACAAATTAACTACAGAAAACTCCTGTAAACCTCTGCACACTGGAAAAAGCATGGATTATTATATGTCTGCTTCATTCATACTGGACGCCAGAGGGCGCCCTCGCGCAGAAAATCCACATATGCATCACAGATGTAATAGAACTGATGACGTTCCAGGAAATCCCTAATATGGATAAAGGCATCGCTGTCTTTGTAACTAAATAAAAAGAAGATATAACTTTAACTGTTTTGAATGATGAAATGTAAGGACAATAAACGCTCTCCTGCGACAATATATGGTTTATCTGTGTTCTTCAAGCCATCTTGGGTATTTTCATAATGATTAAGTATATTTGCAAGCCAATTCTAATCAACATAGCCTTTATTACAGTATAGAATATATTTTCTGCCTCATTCTGGGATAGGAAGCCACATCAGATCACAAAAGGAAGTTATTTCAAACACTCGACTGATGTTGTGTAGTAAAAACAAGTTATAATGTTCTCTTTTGTTGGACAACAGGTTTAGAAAGGCTTATCGTTGCATGTCATTACAAGGGAAGATGTGTGTTGCTTTTTCAAATATAAGCGGGGAGGTGTTTCCTCATCTCATATTGATAACAATAAGTGTTTCTTGAAGAGCAAATCAGCATGTTATGTAAGCTGTTGAATGAATGAGCGAGTAGCCAGTAACTGATGGTCAAGGTGTTGTTTTGTGGTCTGCAGTCTCTCCTGCTGCTGGGCTGTTTCGCTCTCTTCTGGTCACTCTATTACACTCTGGAGGTGACCCTCACTCACTGGGACTGGCGCGGTTGCAGAATGAGCGGCACGGGACGGCACAGAGGCTTTCAGGCCGTATCCACGGGCCTAGAGGACAGTCAAGTGGTGGAAATCCAGCCCGAGATGGACCATGAGTCTAAGCTTTTTCAAATATAAGCGGGAGGTGTTTCCTCATCTCAGCATGTGAACTCACGGGGACACACACACACACACACACAGAGCCAATTCTGATAGTAATAAAACAAGCGGATATTATTTAAATGCAAAACCGAAAAACCGCAATTCACAAGCGCGTATTGAACCGTGGATGCAAAAAATTTACTCAGCTGTTTTAAATATTGATAACAATAAGTGTTTCTTGAAGAGCAAATCAGCATGTTATGTAAGCTGTTGAATGAATGAGCGAGTAGCCAGTAACTGATGGTCAAGGTGTTGTTTTGTGGTCTGCAGTCTCTCCTGCTGCTGGGCTGGAGGTGTTTCCTCATCTCATATTGATAACAATAAGTGTTTCTTGAAGAGCAAATCAGCATGTTATGTAAGCTGTTGAATGAATGAGCGAGTAGCCAGTAACTGATGGTCAAGGTGTTGTTTTGTGGTCTGCAGTCTCTCCTGCTGCTGGGCTGTTTCGCTCTCTTCTGGTCACTCTATTACACTCTGGAGGTGACCCTCACTCACTGGGACTGGCGCGGTTGCAGAATGAGCGGCACGGGACGGCACAGAGGCTTTCAGGCCGTATCCACGGGCCTAGAGGACAGTCAAGTGGTGGAAATCCAGCCCGAGATGGACCATGAGTCTAAAGTCCCGCTCATTGCTGCTGATGAGAACACGTAGCACTCAGGGAAAACCGTCTCTCTCTCTTTTTGTCTCTATTTTATTCATTTGAAATTTCAGGTCGCGCTTCGGGTGTTTTTGAGCATGTGAGCAAAAGCTCTATTTTGAGTTGCCTTCTTTTGTTTTCTTTGATTTATTTGCTGATGTGTTCATGAGAATGTTATCTTATAAGAGTGCAGTATTTGCATATATGATTGAGAGAGTGTGTGATGTGATTGGCTGAGTGAATGATACAATGACTTCTTTCTTGATCGTGATGCATTGAATGTGTCACTATTAGGTCTTTTCTGAGTATAAATAAATACCTCTGACACTTGAATTTTGAAAGACGGGGGAAGAGATCGTTTAAACTGGAGGTCTGCTCACCTGCAGACGTTTTACTGAATCTAGCCTTTTTTCTTTCTTTTTTTTTTTTTTTTACACTGAAGTGTGGTATTCTTGTGAACAAGAACTCAGATGTGGTCTGAATAAAAACAAAAGGGAAACTGTTTTATTATCTCCGTGATCTCTGCATGGGTTACAGTGTTAAGTGTTTTTAGACGAGCTCTTAAAATCAACACAATATGTTGATAGCATGCCAATTCATTTCTGAGGCGAGTGAAGCTGACTTTGAGGAATTGATTGGTTGCTAAGAAGTCTTTCTGTATGACAGGTAGTGAAATATAAGCTTGATCAGTGAAATCGGCCTAAAAGACAAGACGTTTCATAAGTAGAGCAAGTAAAACAATTATTTTTGCATTAACATGCACCACAATAAGAGTAAATGGGGATAATTTTGATGTGATGTTGATTTGCAGATAGCTGAAGGTTAGACCGCACAGTAGATGAAACACTCAATTCTACTCTGTTCAACAAAGAACATTTTAATTAGACCAAATATGTTACACAAGTAGGGACTGACACTGGGTGTGGAAATTTGTTTTAGTACTGAGTGGAGTCTATATTTATTACACTGTTGCTCTGGCCAGCTGGGACGCTCCGGGAACCGAGGGAAGGACTGGCGAGCGCTTGGCTCATGGGTTCATGATCTGTCGAGGTCTGCCGTAGCCCGTCATGCCGGACTGGGTCGCCCCTTTATTGGACCCCATCTGCAGACCTATGACACTCTTCCCTTCTTTCAGCTGGTCATCAGAGAAATCTCTCCGGTTCTCATGAGCTTTCCTGCAAGCAGACAGAGAGCAGATATTTAACATGTCAACAGTAATGAAATACAGATTTGATCTATGAGCCGGTGATCGTTGGTGCTCACTTGAAGAACCAGCTGGGATCTCCGCGGAAGCTGCCCTCATCTTTAGTAACGGCGATGCTGCCAAGAGCCATGAGAGTCCTCTGCACCGCGGCCAAGTCCTTTCCTGACGTCACAGCAGCAGCAGCATGATTAAAGCACAGCTCATTTATGCAAACAAGCTATAAAGATGCACAGAGATCTTAACTGTTTTGATTTTCTTGAATTCTGGGATCTAGCAGGGAGTGATTCCTGCATTTGTTCTAACCCGATTGATTAGATGTTGAATGTATGTTTGTTTGTTTGTTTGTTTTAACAGGAACCATAGTCCAAGGTAAATATATCCAGTGGTAAATATTCAAAAATATACTTGTTTTTTGGAATTATGGATACAAGTCAAGGGTTATTATTTTGGTTTGAATGTTCATCCCTCTCTGAACGGTTAAAACACCATTTAAAACATTTGTTACAGTAGCATTAGAAATCATTTTACATTCTCCTGTGTCAGAGATCAGGATATAATCAGCACATTTGCTGCATTCCTCATCAAGCTCGGTTTTGTCTTTTCCAGTTTGGAGAGCATTTTTCACATACAGCCTATTAACTGTTTTATTTCAACTCTGATTTAAAATATTCTACAACTGGGTTGTTGTCAGGATCATTTCATTTGAAAGGTTATTGTTGAACTTATAAGAAATAATATCTTCCACACCTCAGGCCCAAAGTATCAAATGCTTTTTTCTAATAGTTATTTTTATTTTTTTTACTAATGTGCTAATAATTATTGTTACTGATTCTAAACCTAAAGCATTATTATTTTAACCCTATTACAAAGGTAAAAGAAATTGGGGGAAAAAAGGCAAGTAAATTCTGGCAGTATCATACTAACATATTAAAGGTATATTTCACCCAAAAATTTGTTTAAAATGTGTCATTGCATCAGTGTCTCAGCAATGGATGCTCTGCAGTGAATGGGTGCCGTCAGAATGAGAGTCCAAACAGCTAATAATCCACAGCACTCCAGTCCATCAGTTAACATCTGGAGAAGACAAAAGCTGAAACACATCCAGCATTAAGACGTTTTTAACTAAAATACATTGAGTGCATAATCCACAATAACGCTTCCTCCGGTAAAAAGTGCATCTTCTGTTGTCTCTCACATCAAAATCCAGCCACATATGTGTTTAGAGCTGTTTAAACAGTGCTTGATCTGTGCAGATTTCTCTCCTGATTCACACCAGAACACTGACTCACTGGAGGAAGAGTTATTATGGATTATGGACTGGGATTCTAGTTAAAAACGTCTTGATGGATTAGTTTCAGCTTTTGTCTTCTCCAGATGTTCACTGCTGGACTGGAGTGCTGTGGATTACTTGTGGATTATTGTGCTGTTTTTATCAGCTGTTTGGACTCTCATTCTGACGGCACCCATTCACTGCAGAGCATCCATTGCTGAGACATTTCTCCAAATCCCCAATAAAGAAAAACTCAGCTACATCTTGGAAAAGAAAAGAAAAGAGACAAGCGGTTTAGAGAATGGATGGATGGACGATATTTATGGTGGCTGAGAGAGCTCAACGCACTGCAACTTAAGAAAACACATGCAAATAGAAAAAGCACCAGCAAATTAAAAAAACATCATCAGTTTGACAACACGTGCTGCAAATACTCACAACACAAACAAAAAACAAGCTGCAAGTAGCACAGACCACAAAGGGGACCCAACAATGCTTACGAAAACTAACCATGATTTTATTATTGTAAAAGCAGTAACCATGTATTGATCACCATTTGTATAACAGTTGTACAAATACCATGGTTAAACTAGATTAGTGTAGTTAATATACCATGGTTTAACTATAGTAACTATTATTTATTTGTATTTATTTTTTATATAATAATTAAAAATATATATAATATATAGGCTATTTATTTATTTATTTGAATAGTAAAACCATGGTTATTTTTTTAAGTTAAAAGTATCCAGCTTACATTTCACAGTTGCAGTAATTGTGTAGTATTTCATCAGCTTAAAAAAAAAGAACCTAAGGAATTATACACACAAAAATCTCACGTTTCAGAGTAGACACTTATAAGCATATCCCAGCCAGGTTCGTCACTTGTTGCGGTTCCCTTAAACATTTCCGATGTAGTCTGTGCATATTTGCAGCTTGTTCGTATTTGTGTTATGAGTAGGCAATTTGCAGTGCATTTCTGTTTTTGGCTGTGTTGTGAGTATTTGCAGCACATGTGCTGTCAAACAGATGAATTGTTTTCTTCATTTTCATGTGTTTTTTAATTTGCAGTGCGTCAGCTCTCTCGGCCACCGTAGGGTAGGGATGGGCGATACAACTTATTTTGTTTTCGATACGATACCGATACTTTTAAAGGCCAGTATCGTTGATATCGATACCGATATGATACTTCTAAACTGAACTTTAAATTGATTAAATTCTTAAATTACTAAAATGGGTATGATACCCACTTCACTTTATATTTGAAATGCATTTTAACATTCAATACGCCTTTATTGCAACTCATTAGGTCATATTTTTGTTTACACTTCGTTAAAATATATTTACCATATTGGTAACCATGGAAATACAAATACTATAGCTGAACTAGGTCACTTTAGTAACACCATGGTTCATTTTCATAAGGGACTGCCAGTGACCGGCTGTTGCATGCATCTAACAGTGCATGATTTATATTAACATTGATTGAATGGTTCTGTCTTGCAACATTTGCGTATGCTCAGATGAGCAGGAAAATAGTTCTATCCTACACATTTATTTGCTAACATACGTAGGGTATTCATCCAATTCAATGCATATTGTATGCATACATTTTTTGTCAAATAAACAAAATCACTGGTAAATAAAACACCTTAGTAATGATATTTTTTATTTGAGTATCGATACTTTTGATACTCGCATCAGTATCGATATTTCGATACTTCAGGAACGATACGCACATCCCTACCGTAGATATTACTGAGTTGAAGGTTAATGCAAAATTGGTTAATAACTAGACCTACTAGACATAACTACTTTGTACTAAGAAATATTATGCAACAAAAAGGATGATTTTGCCCATAACAGATGTGATATTTGAAAATAAATTAAATTAAATCCAAGCATTTCAGGTTTAATTACGCAAATGATTATTGCACAAATGATAACCTAGTTCTAGTTTAGTTTTGCTTTGTCTCATGCCATACATTAAAAATTATTCAACTTTATTTAACAAACTTATTTAAAGTTAGCTGATGATGTTAAGTTAATACAGAAATGTAAACAATGATAATGTAAACACATATATCGAATGGTGAATTTTGGCATGGGATTTGAATGTTTATCACAGATATATATAGTTCTTTTGTTGAACTCACCCTCCCACAGATCTACGGTCTGAAACATGTCGGTTTTGACGACGCCGTATTGCTCCGCAGCATTGAGGAACTGTGAGATCTGCTCCATCTGTTTGAAAGCCATGCTGGAGCTCTGGATCTTCTTCACAGGCTTGTCCTTACACAGAGTATTGATGAGCTCACACAAAACCTGAGAGCGGTACAGAAAACAAGATTACTTTCCAGAAACTTCACGTTTCTTGTGCCAATCACTACTTCAATCCCTATTCATTTGAGCTTTTCTCTTTTTTTTTTACTGAATAGTCTAGGTTTAGCTAGCAGCTAGCTTTTCACTCATTTATAATTTTGTCAAAACACTTTTTTTTGGACTCAGCTTTCATTGGTTCTTCATGAACTGTGATCTGTTGGTCTGTTAAAAAAAACTCTGCATGACCGTATTCTGCATCCCCAACCCTACCCAATACCTAAACTTAACAACTACTTTACTAACTATTAGTAAGCAGCAAATTAGGAGTTTACTGAGATAAACGTTGTAGGTAATGGTTTGTTTATAGCAAGAATTGGACCTTAAAGAAGACATATTTTGTCCCTTTTTACAATATGTAATATAAGTCTCTGGTGTCCCCAGAATGTGTCTGTGAAGTTTCAGCTCAAAATGCTCGCAGAAAAATGCTTCCCAAAACAAAGTTACTGGGTTGGTAGATGCACCGGGGACCTGATTATAGCACTTTAAACCTGTAAAAGTCAGATTTTCATGATATTTCACCTTTAAATAAAATGTGACTGAAATTTTCATGTTAGTAATGTATTATAATGATCAGGTTGTTTATCATTTCCATACCATGTAATGGGAGTTCAAGATCGGTTTGGTGTTTTACATTTGTTTTGAAAAAACAACAACAAAAACATTTCAAATATAGATGAGATAATCATCAGCGATGCTTTACCACAAGCAGAAACTGCAGGAGACCACGTCACTGAGGGAGAGAAATCAGACACGCTGGTTTTTTCAGATGCTCGCAGAAAAATGCTTACCAAAACAAAGTTACTGGGTTGGTAGATGCACCGTGGACCTGATTATAGCACTTTAAACCTGGAAAAGTCAGATTTACATGATATTTCACCTTTAAATAAAATGTGACTGAAATTTTCATGTTAGTAATGTATTATAATGATCAAGTTGTTTATCATTTCCATACCATGTAATGGGAGTTCAAGATCGGTTTGGTGTTTTACATTTGAAAAAACAACAACAAAAACATTTCAAATATAGATGAGATAATCATCAGCGATGCTTTACCACAAGCAGAAACTGCAGGAGCAACTACGGATGTGATATATTCCTGTTTGTGGCAGTCGTTGGCAGCGTGGTCAGAGCGCTCGTACTGTTGGAAATCCCTCCGCATCTTCAGCAGTCATCTCAGGGTCATGAGTGTTTTGCCCCTCAACCTGTACGCTTCACCTGAGTGTGTCAGCAAACACCAGATCAGCCTTCACCTGCAGAAGGGGTCCAACTGTGATCTCAGATTAACCACAACCACCTTGAGCTGCCACTGGGCAGGGTACCGTCAGTTCTTCTTATCTTGGGAGTCTTGTCTCCTTGCTTTAGGAAACTGACTCCTCTGGGTGGTGGGGCCTGGAATTTATTGGCTTTGACCCTCTGGAAGTCTGTGCATTTGGCAATTTCAACAAGAACCTTGTCATGTCTCCATTTGTGGTGACCTTCTCCCACTGCGTTGGGACATCAGGATCATGGCCCCAGATCTTTAGGTTGTTTGGGGTTGGTAATCGGTCAGCTACAGCATGCAAGATGAAGATCAGTTTGCCTTGGTCAGCACTCCAGAGTTCCCTCCAGGACAGCGAACGCTCGAGGGCCTGATCCCACTGCATCCACTGCCCCTGAGAGGAGAACCCTACTGTTTTTACAAGCCGGCCTCTCTGACCCACAAGTGTCTTCTTACTCTTTGGCTCTTGTTTTGTAGGTTCCCAGTCCCAGTCATCCTTGGCAGATCATGCCAATGATTTCCTGATGTTTCCAGTATGATTCTGTTTCCCTCACTGCCTCCTGTGGCTTCCACTTCATGCCACAATTGACAGTTTTGTTGGCATGTCAAAACTTCTCATCTTTAGACAGTAGCAGTGTGCTGGTTGCTCTTGCCTTGACTTTGAAATCTTCCACCACCGATGAGACTGGTGAGCGGAGCTTGGAGGTCTTGCTGTACAGATTGACTGAGCTAAAAGAGGAACACCCAGACACACCTTCACACAAACCTGCTATACAGCCTTTGCATGATGCCATACTGGAAGCACCATACCTTAAAGCTCACAAGCGGCTGGCTGTTATCAATTTCATTGAGTCAACCTTTCAACCTCTTCAGCAGCTTTGGGCAGTTATTATAGATCATATGGGTGGTTTCAGAATGTCCTGCTTGAGCTTTCTCCACCACTGCCCTTATTTCGTCCAGAGTAAAATCTGCCATGACTTGAGTGTTGGTAGCTGGAAAGGACAATCCCCCAGTGCAATGTCCATTTTGGAGTCTCCATATGCAGCTGCATTGCCTCATCCACTTCTTCCTCAGAACATACAAGTCTTCCACTCTTCCTCTCTTCAGAAGCGTTGCAATTAATTTACGCAAAACGAAAACAAAGTTACACCAGTGGTGTGCTTATCAGAGACATGGAGGCTACTACACACACTAGATTATCTATGACAGAGGGACCAAACAGCAAAGCTTTATTTCCACCAGAGAAATGCATGAAGGCGATAGTGTAAAAGCATTTTGGGTACACCAAGAATGACAAGGGCGTCATTTCAATATTGCAGTAAAAATGCTGCTAAAAGAGCAAATACATAAGGGATAATGCACGGCTAGCTGTTTAGCTACTTGAATAAATTATTCGATTGATCGAGAGAGAGAGAGGTGACAGTTGCATATGTGAATTACCAGCATCTGCACATCTCTCTACAAACAATGAAGCTGTGAGTTTAGTTAATTCAAACACAGCAATTTTACCTCCTCGTTGCTGATGAATATAATGTAGCGATCCTGTAAGCTATTTTATTAATAAAAAGTCACAGGGCAGCATTGACAACAAGTTTCTGTACTCCTGAATGTTTATATGTATGTGTGCGCAGCGCGATCTCTGATCTCACAAACCAAAATAATAGACATTCTCAGGCCACATTTAAAATCAGATGAATTATTAAAAAGATAATTTTTTGTTTTACTTGTAATTTTGTGTACTGATGGCATATATATGCAAAGTTGTATTTCTCTTACTGTTATATATGTTCATATGCAATCAATTTTGTTTTTTAAAACCTACTGGCGGTTTTAATTTCACATTTCGACAATTTTTTTTTTTTATTTGCTTTTCCATTTTGCATTTACTTGTACTTTTACTTTCAATACTTAAGTATGTTTAAGATTAAAAAAAATAAAGACTTAATAAAAGACTTTTACTCATGAAATATTATAAACGGTGACTTCAACTTCTACCAAAGTCATTTTCTGGTAAGATATCTGTACTTTTACTTGAGTATGGCTTTCAGGTACTTTATACACCACTGTTCTTTTCTGAAGGATTATTTTTGTGAAACTACATGTGTTGCTTGTCTTGGCCAGGACTCTCTTGCAAAAGAGATTTTAAAATCAAAGAAAGAATAAACAAACAAATAAATAAATAAAATGCTGTCAACGTCTGTTTCTTGGCAGCCTTTTTTTTTAAGTACAGTTGCTTGCATGATTGCCGTGCATGCATGGCTTACACATCCGTCTTTGAGCCAGGCCTGGAAACCCAGTTTTCCAGCCTCTGGTTTTCCAACCCCAGAGCCGCACTGAGTCACGATCCACTCCACCAAACGCACCTCCAGCTCAGGGTCGTACTTCTGCTCGATTTTATCCTGCACCTGGCGGCTCATCCCATAAGAAGGACCCTTGTTTGCCATGCTTGAAGCTCCCTGCGTAGAGGAGAAGTCAATAGTATAATATTAAGTTTCTTAATATGTGCAATTCCGTGTCAGATTTATCATAATTTTATATTGCTTTTGTTCCAGTGTAGTCTGTCTGAAATTTTCCTGTCAAATGTTATTAGACATTTTCAACATGAACAATGCTTGTGTGTTGTTGTGTAAAGATACAAAACAAGAACACAGTTGAAGGACGTTTTTCATTATTTTACCTTTCCTCAAATCCTCTTCTCCTGCAACAAACCTTTATCTATTTAAATTAAGCTAAACACCATCAGAATAAAGTGGAAAAAAGCCAATGATGCAATTGGAAGCAGCCACAAAGCCATGAAATCGAAGTACAAATCATGCTTATAAATATTGTGCGGTGTAAACAGTCCAGCATTTCCAACGGCAAACAGTTCAGCTCAATTATAAAAAAATATGTTATTTCAAATGGATAACTTGAGCTAAACTGTTACACAAAAAGCAACCATAAAGGCAGAGGCTGAGAGATTCACATGTTCATATAGTCCTTGAGTGGAGGTGGATGGGGAAATCAGTACTGTACAGCTGAATATGACAGGATCAGATGAACATGCTTCTCCAGAAACACCATCAGCTACAGTCACACATCTCAGCAGTCCGTAACACCATCGAAGCGAAGCTCAAATCACACACACTCAGACACACACACACACACACACACACACACACACACACACACACACACACACACACACACACACACACACACACACACACACACACACACACAATCATGCTTATAAATGTTGTGCGGTGTAAACAGTCCAACATTTCCAACGGCAAACAGTTCAGCACAATTATAAAAAAAATGCTGTGTCAAACCGAGCTAAACCGTTACACAAAAAGCAACCAGAGAGGCAGAGGCGGAGAGATTCACATGTTCATATAGTCCTTGAGTGGAGGTGGATGGAGAAATCAGTACTGTACAGCTGAATATGACAGGATCAGATGAACATGCTCCTCCAGAAACCCCATCAGCTACAGTCACACATCTCAGCAGTCCGTAACACCATCGAAGCGAAGCTCAAATCACACACACACACACCCAAAGAGAGCAGCACCTTCACCTGTGCTGCCATTCTGCGCTTTACCACGTTCCTCTGAAGTCCCAACCTTAAGGAATGAGTTTAAAGTCATTCACCCTATGAGCATTACATCTGCACCTTTTTGTTAAATTCATTCATTTATTTTTTAATTATGAGTCATTTCAGGACAAATAGTATAAATTAATTTGCTAAACTTTTATATAATATAATAAAGAGGAAAATAAACCAGTATAAATGTGTCAGATGTAAATGGTTTCCGGTTTTCCAGAACATTAGATCACACATTACCAAACCAGAGGTGAAGTTAGACCTGAGAAAAATGTAAAATTTAAAGTGCTTGTGTTTTCTAATGCTATGACATTTACACAAGTGTCATTTAAAGGGATAGTTCACCCAAAAAGGAAAATCCTGTCATCATTGACTTCCATAGTATCCCCCCCCCCCCATACTATGGAAGTCAATGGGGACCAGCAACTGTTTGATTAGTGATATTCTTCAAAATATCTTCTTTTGTGTTCTACAGAAATATGAAACTCATACAGGTTTGGAATAACCCGAGAGTGAGTAAATGATGACAGAATTTAAATTTTTTTTTTTTTTTGGGTGAACTATCCCTTTAAGTTTCCATATAGTTTCCATTTCAATATTGCAGTAGGCATTCTTTTTTCACCCTGATCTGAGTGCTTTAGTTTTGTTCTGCATCAATGATAATGTAGGGGAATTGGAATAGGCTAGGTCTGCGTTAAATGTTTATAAAGAAAGATATACATGTTTGATACGAGTGCTGTAATTAACAACAAAGAAGAAGCTCACGCTACACATCAAAATTTCAAATATTACAGAAACACTGAAGTGAACTTGATAACTTGCAATCACAAAGTCATGAAAGATACTAAATTTAAGCTATTTTTTCAGGTCTGGTTTTTGTTTTTTAAAGATAGTATGTAGATTTTGTATTGTAGAGCATGTAGAGTTGCATGGATTATTACTTTACAGTATATCATTTAAAAGCCACAGCAATCAGCAAAACACCTGACTGAAAGGAGTTGAAAGCATGTGAAAAAAATACTTACTCTAGTGAAAATGAAGATGACTTTGTCGTTCGTGCAGACAGCAGTCACTCTGGAGCTTTAATATGTTCAGCAGAGTATCGCTGTTTCAAGACGAGATGTCTTTTCCATTAGAGAGACAAAAAACGAGGCATTCGGTGAAAGGGGGCAGAGAAAAGGAAATTGACGCCATAAAAGGACATGCTGCTTTTCCTCACGCCCACCCTCCTCTCCGCTCTGCACTTGAGCTTTCTGGTTCAGCCCTTTGTTAAAGCAAAGCCTTATTTGGGAAGAGGCTTGGATGAGGACAGCAACCAAGCCAAGAGCCTGTAGTTTGGTCAGAGAGCAGAATTCTCCAAATACCACACCACTGCATCAGCAGAGAGAAAGAGGAAGGCTGTGTGAAGGCATAAGCAGAGGGCTTTGAGTTTAGACAGGGACATAAATGGACAGATGGACTGTATAGATTATAGATGAATCATCACACATCAGAGACACAGAGCACGGTCTGTCAGCGGTACGGTATATAAGGTATTTCAATGCAGAAGTACTGGCAGAAGGGAAATAAGAGAGAGCTGAGGACTGCTGAAGCAACATGATTTACTGACACTTAGGACGCAAACGCTAACAAGGCCTTCTATGTACAAAATACTCCCCAGTGTGTGTTCAATACTACGTTATCTAATGCTGGAAGCATGCAATGCTACTATATTTAAGTCACACTTTATTTTAAGGTCCAATTCCCAATATTAAGTAACTTTTAACTATGACTTCAGCCGTACGAAACTTCCAATTTGCTGCGTATTAGTAGTTAGTAAGGTTGTTGTTAAGTTTAGATGTGGAGTATATGATTAAGAGATCTTGGTATTGGTACTTGGTACTTAAAATGTTATTTAACTGAGGGATTAATTTCATCGACCATTAAGAGCAGAATTCTCCAAATACCACACCACTGCATCAGCAGAGAGAAAGAGGAAGGCTGTGTGAAGGCATAAGCAGAGGGCTCTGAGTTTAGACAGGGACATAAATGGACAGATGGACTGTATAGATTATAGATGAATCATCACACATCAGAGACACAGAGCACGGTCTGTCAGCGGTACGGTATATAAGGTATTTCAATGCAGAAGCACTGGCAGAAGGGAAATAAGAGAGAGCTGAGGACTGCTGAAGCAACATGATTTACTGACACTTAGGACGCAAACGCTAACAAGGCCTTCTATGTACAAAATACTCCCCAGTGTGTGTTCAATACTACGTTATCTAATGCTGGAAGCATGCAATGCTACTATATTTAAGTCACTGAGCATATGACACTCAATGACAGTTGTCATAAACATGCATAAAACCTCCTTCATATTCATGACGTGTGTCATGTCATGATTATGAAGGTGTCATGTCAGTCTTATGCACACCCCTTCAAGTAAAGTGTTACCTGATGTTATATTATGATCACAGTAAAACTCATGAAAACTTTCCAAATGACCTTTATGCATACAGATATTATTATTACTGTATATCCTATATTCTAAACCTAGACTTTAATTCGTAAATATAAAAATCCAACATAAAATTATTCTGTTTAAAACAATATTAGTTAAAAGAAATAGTCATAAACTGTTTTCATTGTATTATATGAAAGTGATTTCTCTAAGTTTTTTTTCTCACAACATGAGTGCACATATATGCATGTATTTATTAATGTATTGTTAGGCAGGGACAACACTTCTTTCTTACATGACAACCCACCTCAAGTGACAATCGAAGTTGTTAGTGATACACAGTACTTACGTATATAAAGTACTTACTTTCAAACTAGTAACAATAAAATAATAATAAACAAATCAATTAAAGCTGTCTCCTTTCACTTCTGGGTTATGATTTGATTTGTGATGACAAAACTGGATTCAGTTCAAGTGTCAAGCTTGTTGATGCTGATAAATCGATTGAAAATAGATAGATAGTATTATACGGTGGCTGAGAAGTGCAGAACAAATCACAATTCTGAAAACAAAAACAAATTACAAACGCAAATGCAAGTCTAAAAAACAATGTAACAATTCAGAAAGCACAACAACAATTCAGAAAACATTATAACAATTCAGAAAACACAATGACAAATTCGAAAACAAAACAACAAGTCAGAAAACACAACGACAAATCAGACAAACCGGAAGAGGTGGGTATAGTTTGAGACAGCGCCATTGGTTTGGGATTACTCTCCGCTGACTGGACGAGACATCTGTCAATCAACGTATACAGAGAAGAACCAGCCGAAGAACAGCAGAGTCCTGGTAGAAAGTTCAGAGATGGTATTAAAGTAGCTCAGTTTAAATGTATTGTATGAATTGCTCTTACTCTGGAATAAAAAATACGGGGTATCTATTTATATTTAGTTAAAAGTGGCTGTAATACATCAGCTCCAGTGCTGCAGATGGATAAATGTGCGTCACCAACTTTTTGGCGCGATCGACCCGGGTTCGATCCCGCCTTTTGCCGAACTTTTTTTTCCTCCCTTTTCAAATCTCATATTAGTAATGGATTCTATTTACACTAAGTGCAAATACCTATTTACACTGTTAAAATAGCAGGATTTCTACTATCAAGTATACTACTTGTTGCAAATAGAACCCGGGTCAATCGCGCCAAAAAGTTAGTGACGCACACTTATCCATCTGCGCCACAGGAGCTGATGATATACAGCCACTTTTAACTAAATATAAATAGATACCCCGTATTTTTTATTCCAGAGTAAGAGCAATTCATACAATACATTTAAACTGAGTTACTTTAATACCATCTCTGAACTTTCTACCACGACTCTGCTGTTCTTCGGCTGGTTCTTCTCTGTATACGTTGATTGACAGATGTCTCGTCCAGTCAGCGGAGAGTAATCCCAAACCAATGGCGCTGTCTCAAACTATACCCACCTCTTCCGGTTTGTCTGATTTGTCGTTGTGTTTTCTGACTTGTTAATTTGTTTTCGGATTTGTCATTGTGTTTTCTGACTTGTTATAATGTTTTCTGAATTGTTTTTGTGTTTTCTGAATTGTTATTTTGTTTTTTAGACATGCATTTGCGTTTGTAATTTGTTATTTTGTTTTCAGAATTGTGATTTGTTCTGCACTTCTCAGCCACCGTAGTATTACTTGCATTAACGTTTTTGCAGAAAGTAGATACTGCTTTGTAAAACCTTTAGAGCGAGAGTGAGAGAGAGTATATGCTGCATTGCTGTCATTTGGAGTAACACTTTACTTAAAGCTTTTATGTATAATGCATTATAAAAGTAGTTTTAATACATTAAGTATGCCTTGTAATGTACCTTTTAATGCATGCATAATTGTAACCACAATTAATACATTATAACACTTATCAACTCATTGTTACACTATGCATTTTAAATTCGGTTATAATTCTTTACGACAAGATATCATGTATTACAACGCACATTATGAGTAATGCAATAGCCTTTAATAACCCTTTATAATGCATTATGCATAAAGGCTTTAAGTAAAGTGTTACCACATTTAGTTATCATTTTATAAATAAATATGGTTTTATATTTTTATTCAGTATATATATAAAAAGCTAGCATATAAAAAGATGATGTCAACAAACTAGAAGGAATAAGCACCACAGAAAACTATTAAAGTTACCTTTATTCATAAAGCCATATACTGTTTTTTGCTAGGATTCATTGTCATTTTTATGGCAATTTTATATGAAGACTCATACATGGACATCTTTTCATGGTTTTAATCTCTGATGAAGATTGCTGTGTATGTATGTACAGTTATTTCACTCTTATTGCTCAGAGAAGGGATAGACCAGGTATCCGCTGAACATGTTTTGGCCCTGGGTGTCTCCACACAGCTGTCTGCCTGACATCAGCTCAACATACACCTGACAGCCGCGTCTGAGCTGCAGAAGAACCGTCTGAGTGCTGCTGTCCTCCGAATCCTCACGGTTATCTTCCCAGGACGAGGCCACCAGCTGGCCGTTCTTCATCAGCTGCACCTTCTGGTAGAGCCGCTGACCTGCGCTGCCAACGCTGGAGTACGCCGTGAAGGAGAAGGAGTAGAGGCCAGCGTGAGGAGCCGTGAACGTGCCTGTGAAGAATCAGGATCAGGTTGATGTCTCTGTTTGCTTGGCTTATTCTGTTCAAACTTACTGTGAGAAGCTGGCTCTACAAGGACGACGTGAACTGGATGCATTGCATAAATCTAAACAGGAGATTAGTTGGGCCTACACTCTTAAAATGCCCCTATTATGGATTTTTGTAAACTACCATTCATGCAGTGTGTAACACAGCTCTGAGTGAATGAAAACATCCTGCAAAGTTTTAAATCTGAAAGTGCACCGTCTATAAAGTTATTTTATCTCAAAAGAAAGAGTCATTGAAACGAGTCGTTTTTAAAACAAATCCCAAGCCGTTTTATGTTGACGTCAACATGAAACATTAGCATATTGCCCGCCCACTTGTTGGTCTGAATGAAAATGCAAATTCATTCTTTGCCACTAGGTGCCGCTTTTGGAGTGGTAAAAATAGCGTTTTCCCCGGTAACGCAGTAAACAAAGCAGCACTGCGCTCACAAACGCTGCTTTTATCCATTATTAAATGGAAATTAAATTGACCCAAAATATTGTCCCTTATGACTGGTTTTGGGCTCCAGGATCACATATTATTGTTCTCAAAATACTGTCATCAGTTTGAAAACAAAACTTTCAGATGTTTTATGCGTCATTTACATGTCTGCTCGTGTTTCATAGACTAGTGTGACCACAGCATTATAGTCTCCTGTTTTCCACTCATTTCCTGACGTTCTGGTTTTTGACTCTGCCCTAAAATATGAAGCAGCATTGGCGCAGTGTATTGTGGCCTGCTTACCCAACGCAGGATTGTAGCCATTGCCCTGATTGAGGGAGACAGACTGGTAAGAGATAGACACGTTGCTGGTAAACGGCCCAAGACATCCACTCATTGGAAGCATCGCAGCAGTGAAGGCTATTTTGCATCCAGCTACAGGAAGGGACAGAAAGCAAGGAAAATGTAACTGTTCAAGTTAAGATTTTCATATATTTTTTCCAAAATGATAAGCAAATATGAAGCAACAATACCTGTGAGCTCCTCTATTTGGCTGTTCAGATGAGACAGTCCTTCCCATAAG